CTGCTTTTCGCCCACACAGCCACCAACTAGGTCATGCGCGTGTGGGCGAACTGCTTTTCGCCCACACGACACTACTACCTTGTGGATGGCAACTGCAGTTACGCGAACATGGCAACTCGGTACACACACATGGCAACTGTGATTCTTTGCTACATGGCAACTGCAGTTACGCGAACGTGGCAACTCGGTACTCACACATGGCAACTGTGATTCTTTGCTACACGGCAACTGCAGTTGCGCGTACGTGGCAACCAGATAAACACACATGGCAACTGTGATTAACAATACATGGCAATTATGGTTGGACCACACGTGGCAACTAGGTAAACACACATGGCAACTACTGTTTTGACCATATGTGACAAGTAGTTAATCACACACGGCAACTACGGTTTGATTACACGCGGCAACTACCATAAATTAGACATGGCAACTATAGTTAACCAAAACAGATAGAGTTGCCATGCTTTTACAACTACACTTGCCATCCCGAATGACTACATCTGCCAACCAGGATGGCAACTAAATCGTCATCCCGCGGGGTACCTAACGTAGCTGCGTCAGGACGTGTGGGCATTTTTGCTTCGTGCCACACGCACGGGGTGGAGATGAGTAGTATTTGTTGGGCGTGTGGCACGAAGTAGCCGCGCCCACACGTGTGGGCAATTCTAATGTCCGCCCACACACAACCCATGTGGGCTGCCTCCTGCTCACACCACACACGTGTGTGGGCGCATGTCGTATATGCCACACGTGTGGCAGTTATCGGCGTCCTTTGTCTTAGTGTTTTTCTTTTCCTTTTTCTGTTTTGGTTTTTATTTATTTATTTTCATTTTTGTTCTAATTTTTTTTTCGTTTTTTCCCTTCTGTTTTTTCCTGGTTTGGTTTTTTACTTCTAATTTTTTGCGTTGTTTTCCTTTTTGATAGTTTTCTCTATGAACTTTTTCCTAATGTACATCAAACTTTTATTTAATATACGATGAACATCTTTCAATGCAAACCAAACTATTCTTTTAGTCGATGATAGTCGGACATGGGTTATAGAAAGTTAAGAGCTATGGAGACAAACTTTGGAATCAGAAGGTTTTAAGCTTAGTAGAACTAAAGTTGAGTACATGAGGTGCGGTTTCAGTACTACTAGGGATGAGGAGGAGGAGGAGGTTAGCTTTGATGGGTAGGTGCCTAGATGGTACCTCAGAAGGACACCTTTTGATATTTGGGGTCGATGCTGCAGAAGGATGGTAATATCGATGAAGATGAGTCATCGAATCAAAGCCGGATTGATGAAGTGGTGCCAAGCTTCTGGTGTTCAATGTGATAAGAGAGTGCCACAAAAGCTAAAAGACAGCTTCTATAGGACGGCGATTCGACCCGCAATATTGTATGGCGCTGAGTGTTGGCCGATTAAAAAGCGACATGTTCAACAGTTAGGTGTAGCGGAGATGCGCATGTTGAGATGGATGTGTGGCCACACAAGAAAGGATCGGATCGATGATATACATGATAGAGTTGGGGTAGCACCGATTGAAAAGAAGCTTGTCCAACATCGTCTGAGACGGTTTGGGCATATTCAACGTAGGCCTCCAGAAGCTGCAGTGCATAGTGGGTGGTTAAAGCGTGCTGATAATGTCAAGGAAGGTCAGGTTAGACCAAACTTTGACATGGATGTCCGTACGGAGAGATCTGAAGGACCGAAATATCACCAAAGAACTAGCCATAGACAGGGGTGTGTGGAAGTTAGCTATTGATGGGCTAGAACCATGAGTTGGTTTCGAGATCTTATGGGTTTCAGCTCTAGCCTACCCCAACTTGTTTGGGACTAAAGGCTTTGTTGTTGTTGTAGTTGAACATTTTTTTATATACAGTGAACTTCTTTTAGTGTATGGTGAACATTTTTTAATACAAACTAAACATTTTTTATTAGATGCTGAACATTTTTTTAATTCACATGAAACTTTTTTAGAACACACCGAACATTTTTTGAAAAAACCCCAAAAGAAAACCGAAGAGAAAAACATCCAACAGCCAGTTTTTCCAAAAAAGGGAAAACAAAAAACAAAAATACGCTCAATTGTGCTTGCTAGATGGGGCCGGCCCATTTGCGCTCCCTTCAGGTTTCGCCTGTGCTTTTTGATGTCTATGGGGGTCGATCAGGAGGTCTCGTTCATAAGTGCTTGAATAGGAAAATTTCTTGATCCTGGTGACTACCTGGGAAATGATTCTATGCCCGAAATGCTTAGAATTTCTTTGAATGCCTGAATTAAAACAGACAATCCCTGTCAATAATTACCCAGAAGTCAATCAAAACTCGGTATTTAATGTTTAAATTTTGACAAAAAAGAACCTTTGAGAAGAAAACTAGTTCCCACTGGCTGATGATCTGAAACCAGTACTACCTGTGGTCAGTGATTTTTTAAACAAGCAGTTTTTAACACTTTGTCTCAGTCAATCAAATTGCCAGACATGTTTTCTTAACAATTGATGAATCAGATGGACACATAGTTCGCTAATATTTAATAATTTAATATTTATGTAATATGTAAAACTGCATCAGTTGAGTTCTTGCCAGATCCCTCAGTCACTATGGTGCCAGAAATGGCTTTGTTGGCAATTGATGAATCAATGGACACATACTCTGTTTGTTAATGATGTAATACTCTTGTAAAACAGCACTAGTTAACAGTTAAGTTTTGGGCATTGCCCTTTAACAATTCCTTAGAGCCAGGTTGTGTATTTCATGATCTTGGACCGTGGATTTCCTTCTACTAACGAAATAGTCGAACAAAGTACTATCTGGATGTGCTTAACCCATTTTGTTGCTTATATTGCTGCAGGCAAGGAGTCATAGTGACTTCATTAGTTCTTGCAATTGAATTCTTAAAGGTATGATAATAATTATATAACCTAGATTGTTCTTTACCGTGACATTCTGTCATTCTGTATACATGTGTACAGGTTATATGCGCGGTCATTTTATTGGTGGCAGAGGGTAGTCTGAAGGCGCAATTCAGTAATTGGAGTCTTGTTGGATCACTGACTGCATCAGGACTTCCTGCTGCCATCTATGCACTTCAGAATAGCCTGTTGCAGATATCATACAAGAATTTGGATTCCCTGACCTTTTCAATCCTTAACCAGACCAAGCTATTATTCACAGCATTCTTCACATATCTTATTTTGGGGTATGCTGATTACCCTATTTGAATTACATACTGTTAAGTCTTGACAAGTGACAACATTGAAGATCCTGTGATGCATTAACCATGAAAATGTAGGCATAGCAATACTTTGGACTTTCTGAATGAATAGTATTCGATTTGTAATGTCATCACGCTGCATGAGCAACCACTTCTTGCTTATTTTGGTAACTGTAGCTTGATGCTATTAAGTTTGATTTGTCTTGAGCATAGCTCCATGGAAAGGCAGCATGTTATGACCGGTTTGGTCTATACTAGGAAGAGGCCCACCGGTCATTAGTATTAGGGGCTTGGCCCACAAGTTATCTTACGCAAGTTATTTTAGGCAAGTTATCTTAGGCTAAAGTTATAATTACTAGTTGTAAGACACCGTTGAAATCAGGCAATAAAGATATTATCATCTTCTGTTGCCCGGCTCCTTGAGGAGCCGGAACCCTAGCCGTCGCTGCCGCCTCTAAACCCTAGCCGCGACGGCGCCTGTCCGCCGGCGCGCCCGCTCAAGCCCTCGTCCCCCTCCTCTTTGCCCATACAATCTGCGCCGGAGGCGTGGTAGGAACCCTAGTCCTACCAATTTGGTATTCAGAGACACCAGCTCGATCATGTCGCTTCCTCCATCACCGCCGTCGCTGCCAAACACCACCGCCTCGCCTACGCTGCCGCCAGCCCCGTCCGCGTCCATGTCGGCGCTCACATTCGGGGCGGCCACCCCGACAGCGCCGACCGCCACCGCGGCAGAGCCGCCCCCCATCCTCTCGCCCGAGGAGGTCTCGGGCACCCTTCGGGAGCTCGTCCAGGCGGTCAAGGGCATCAGCCTCTACCTCGCCGAGAACCAGCCCCTGCGGCCGAGCGCCGCCACCACCGCCTACGGGCCGCCGCCGCTCCCATGGGCCGCCCCGGCCTTCCAGTCACCCTACGGAGGGCCGCCCCCGCCGCCGCCGCTGCTGCAGCATTACCCGACCGCGGGGCACCCTTGGCCCGCGTGGCCGGCTGCCACCGCACCGCTGGGGGACCCCTCCTAGCAGCTTCTCCAGGCGCCTCCGCCGGCTACTTCGACGCTGGCTGCGGCGCCGCAGCTCCTCCAGGCACCGCCACCGTCAACTACATCACCACCCGCGCCCAGGCCCACGGGTCGGCCCCTGCACCAGGTGCAGTTTCCGCCATCACCGTCGCCAATTCCCGCGTGGGCGGCCGGCTCGTCTCCGGGCCCGGTGTATACCACGGCGCCGGAGCACCCGACGCCCTCCCTCCGGTTTGACCGTCCCTCCGGCTCGGCGACCTACGCCCCGGAGATCCCCGACCCAGCACACTCGCTGCCGCCGACTGCAGCAACCCCCGGGCACGGCGGTCCGACACCCCCTCGCTTCGCCAAACTGGACTATGCCACCTACGAGGGCACGGAGGACCCGCTCAACTGGCTCAACCAGTGCGAGCAGTTCTTTCGCGGGCAGCGGACGCTCGCTTCGAATCGTACCTGGCTCGCGTCCTATCATCTTCGCGGCGCGGCGCAGACCTGGTACTACGCCCTCGAGCAGGACGAGGGCGGCATGCCACCATGGGAGCGCTTCCGGGAGCTCTGTCTTCTCCGGTTCGGGCCTCCTATCCGCGGGAGCCGCCTGGCGGCCCTCGGCCGTTTACAGTTCACCTCCACGGTTCAGGACTACGCCGACCGCTTCCAGGCCCTGGCGTGCCACGCGCCGAGCGTTTCCGGGATTCAGCGCGCCGAGTTATTTGTGGGTGGCCTGCCGGACCATATTCGCGTGGACGTCGAGCTCCGGGATTCCCCCGATCTCCAGAGGCCATGTACTACGCCCGAGCTTTCGAGCAGCGGGCCCAGGCACTGCAGCAACAGCCCGGACGGGGCGGCCGCCAGCCCAGTCGACCAGCGCCGACTTCCCCAGCACCGGGCCGGCCACCTCCAGTCGCGACGACCACGCCCCCGGCCACCACGCGGACTTTCCGCCGGTTGTCACCGGCCGAGCAGCAGGAGCGTCGCCGTCAGGGACTCTGCTTCAACTGTGATGAGCCCTACACGCCGACCCATGTCTGCCCCCGCCTCTTTTACTTGGAGACGGTCGACTACACCGAGGCGGACGACTCGGCCGATGCGACACCACCACCTGAGGCGGCCGCGGACACGCCCGCGGATCCCACAGCGACGGCGTGCGTCGTCTCCCTCCACGCCCTCGCCGGCATCCGTGGCGAGCGGACCATGCTGCTGCCGGTGACGATCCATGGCGAGCGGCTGGTGGCACTGCTGGATACTGGCTCCACCCATAACTTCTTGCCCGAGGCGACCATGCGTCGGCTAGCCCTTCCGACGACGGGCGGGGAGCGCTTGCGGATCACGGTGGCGAACGGCGATCGCCTCCGGTGTCATGGGCTCGCCCGTGACGTTCCCATCTCCATTGGTGGCGAACACTTCTCCATTACCTGCGCAGGGATCGACCTCGGCTGCTTCGACTTCATCCTCGGGGTGGACTTTCTACGGACCCTCGGTCCCATCCTATGGGACTTCGACGCACTCACAATGACGTTCTGGCGGCTGGGCCGCCGCATCCGGTGGGACGACATTGGGGGCGCCGCGTCCTCGGAGGCTGAGCAACCCCTGCTGGATTCCCTTCCGCAGCAGCACAGCGACCTCTTCGACGAGCCACGGGGTCTTCCGCCCGCTCGGGTGTACGACCATCATATTCACCTCATGCCGGGTACCCCTCCCGTGGCGGTTCGGCCCTACCGCTACCCTCAGCTGCAGAAGGATGAGTTGGAGCGCCAGTGTGCCCTGATGCTTGCCGCGGGCATCATCCGGATCTTCACGTCACCCTTCACCACCCCGGTGCTGCTCGTCCGCAAGTCGGACGACACTTGGCGTTTCTGCATCGACTACCGCGCCCTGAACGCGCTCACGCTCAAGGACAAGTTCCCTATACCGGTGGTCGACGAGCTCTTGGATGAGCTCCATGGGGCGCGCTTCTTCACCAAGCTCGATCTCCGGTCGGGCTATCATCGGGTGCGTATGCATCTCGACGACATCGCCAAGACGGCGTTTCGCACCCACCATGGCCACTTCGAGTTCTTGGTGATGCCCTTCGGCCTTGCCAACACCCCAGCGACTTTCCAGGCCTTGATGAACGACGTCCTCCGGCCCTACTTACGGCGGTTTGTGCTTGTTTTCTTTGATGACATTCTTATCTACAGCGCCACCTGGGCCGAGCACCTCCAGCACGTCGCCATCGTCTTCAACGAGCTTCGGGCGCACCACCTCCACCTTAAGCGCTCGAAGTGCTCGTTCGGGACACCTACCGTCGCCTACGTCGGCCATGTCATCTCTGCCGACGGGGTGGCTATGGACGCCGACAAGGTGGCGGCCGTCTCCGCATGGCCGACACCTCGCTCGCCGCGGGCTCTCCGCGGGTTCCTCGGCCTCGCCGGCTACTACCGGAAATTTATCCGGGAGTTCGGGCTCATCGCGGCGCCCCTCACGCGGTTGCTTCGCCGCGACGCTTTCGCTTGGGACGACGAGGCGACGACGGCGTTCGAGGCCCTCAAGGGGGCCCTCACGACGGGCCCCGTCCTTCAGATGCCCGACTTCGACCGCCCGTTCGTGGTGGACTGTGACGCCTCGGGCGTTGGTTTCGGCACCGTGCTTCATCAGGGCGATGGACCCCTCGCCTTCTTCAGCCGGCCTTTCGCTCCTCGCCATCTCAAGCTGGCGGCATACGAGCGGGAGCTCATTGGCCTTGTGCAGGCCGTTCGTCATTGGCGGCCGTACTTGTGGGGACGGTCCTTCCACATTCGCACGGACCACTACAGCCTGAAGTTCTTGCTGGACCAACGGCTGTCGACCGTGCCACAACACCAGTGGATCAGCAAGCTCTTCGGCTTCGACTTCTCCGTCGAGTATCGGCCGGGCCGCCTTAACACCGTGGCTGACGCGCTGTCCCGTCGTGACTCCGACATCACTCCCTCCGTCGACGAGTCCGCCGGGGCGGTCCTGTGCATCCGCTCCGGGCCGACGTTCGGTCTCTTCGCCGACATTCGCCACGCAACTGCGACGGCCGACGACGCCGTCCTTCTTCGGCAGCAGCTCACGGCCGGCGACCTGGAGGAGCCGTGGCGCTTCTCTGACGGCCTGCTTCTCCATGGGCGCCGGATCTTTGTTCCGGCGCATGATGATCTCCGTCACCAGGTGTTACAGCTCGCCCACTCGGCAGGTCATGAGGGTGTGCAGAAAACCCTCCATCATCTTCGCGCCGATTTCTACATCCCTGGCGATCGCGCCTTGGTCCGCGACTGGGTTCGGTCTTGTCAGACATGCCAGCGCAACAAGACGGAGACCCTGCGGCCGGCTGGGTTACTTCAGCCCTTGGAGGTGCCGTCTCAGGTCTGGGCGGATATCTCCATGGACTTCATCGAGGGCCTTCCCAAGGTGGGCGGCAAGTCGGTCATCCTCACGGTGGTCGACCGCTTCTCCAAGTACGCCTATTTCATCGCACTCGGCCATCCGTACACGGCGGCGTCCGTGGCCCGGGCCTTCTTCGACGGCATTGTCCGTCTACACGGGTTCCCTACTTCGATCGTCAGTGATCGGGACCCTGTATTCACGGGCCATGTCTGGCGCGACCTCTTCAGGATGGCGGGTGTCCAGCTCTGCCTGAGTACGGCGTTCCATCCTCAGACAGACGGTCAGTCCGAGGTGGTTAACAAGGTCATTGCCATGTATTTGCGTTGTGTGACAGGTGATCGGCCTCGCGCTTGGGTGGACTGGCTTTCTTGGGCGGAGTACTGCTACAACACCTCCTATCACTCCGCCCTGCGTGCTACGCCGTTTGAGGTGGTCTATGGTCGACCACCCCCGCCTATACTACCGGTGGACCCGGAGACGGCTCGGACAGCGGTTGCGGGTGACCTTATCCGCACCCGCGACGAGATGCTTGCTGAGGTCTGTCAGCGTCTCCTTCAGGCCCAGCAGCTGGCCAAGCATTACTACGACGATCATCATCGCGAGGCGGAGTTCGCGATGGGTGACTGGGTGTGGCTGCGTCTTCTCCACCGCTCTACGCAGTCGCTTGACCCGCGCGCCAAGCGCAAGCTCGGGCCTCGCTACACCGGGCCCTTCCCTATCTTGGAGCGCATTGGGAAGGTGGCCTATCGTCTTCAACTTCCAGCCCGCGCTCGCATCCACGACGTCTTCCATGTGGGGCTGCTCAAGCCTTTTCGTGGCGAGCCACCGGCGGCTCCTCCAGCGCTTCCGCCAACCGCCGATGGTCGCATTCTTCCAGAGCCGGCAAAGGTGTTGCAGGCACAGCTCCGTCGTGGCGTCTGGTTCGTCCTCGTTCAGTGGGCGGGCCTTCCGGAGGAGGAGGCTACTTGGGAGCAGCGTGAGGATTTTCACCAACACTATCCAGACTTTCAGCTCGAGGACGAGCTGTTTGCGCAGGCGGGGAGAGATGTTATGACCGGTTTGGTCTATACTAGGAAGAGGCCCACTGGCCATTAGTATTAGGGGCTTGGCCCACAAGTTATCTTAGGCAAGTTATTTTAGGCAAGTTATCTTAGGCTAAAGTTATAAATACTAGTTGTAAGACACCGTTGAAATCAGGCAATAAAGATATTATCATCTTCTGTTGCCCGGCTCCCTGAGGAGCCGGAACCCTAGCCGCCGCCGCCTCTAAACCCTAGCCGCCGCCGCCTCTAAACCCTAGCCGCGACGGCGCCTGTCCGCCGGCGCGCCCGCTCAAGCCCTCGTCCCCCTCGTCCTTGCCCATACAATCTGCGCCGGAGGCCTGGTAGGAACCCTAGTCCTACCACAGCATCGCAAATTTAACACGCTATACTGTTAAGCCTTCAAGTATTTTTTTTATGGTAACAATCTATGAAACTATGACCACTGCTTTAGGTATAGAATTTAAACCGGAACGTAGGTGATGATCCGGATACCTGTGTGAACATTGGATATATTTTTGAATGGACCATGACACTATTTCAACAGATGAAATCAAGCCAGCAAAAAAGAAAGACATAATCATGCCTGAAGAAATATTGGCCTTCAGCTGTAAATTATCTCAAGGATTTTGACAAACTGCCTGTAATTGGTGGTGGGGTTATAAAGTGAAAATTCTCAGAAGGTGTTTTATCCTCAACCCTGGGTAATATAGGGTTAGTGCGGCAATGGATCCAAGTTATTTTATACGACCACTGGTATTTGGGCTGATATATTTATGCCCATTTCTGTGTTGCTATTGTGTAGTACTCCTTGAGAAAGGATGAAATAAGCAGACTTGACCTCCCTGCTAATTGTCAGAATTCTGATTCGGCTGATTCCTTGATTAATGCTTGTGTTTCATACATTTAAGGAGTTGCCTCTTTCTTTATAGAAGTAAGTGTACTGTCTTTTGTGTTCCACATATCACATTGGTTTAATCCATGTGGGGCAGAACAAATCTTGGCAATTTATTTTACGGGCGAATAAACGTGTGTAATTGCGTTCTCTTAATAACTTGTTGGCGGGTGCTTAGTAGTACCCTCGGTATCATTGCTTTTCTATTCACTCTGCGGATAGATATCTATCTGGAGTGATTTCATACTCATTTGGTTGATTTCTTTTGGGGTCATTTTGCAGGCAAAAACAATCACCCAAACAAATTTTAGCATTAGCCCTCTTAATCACTGCGGCTGTCCTTTTAAGCATTGGGGAGAGTAGCAGGAAAGGTGCAAGTGGTGGTAGCTCTGATTATGTCTTACTCTATGGAATCCTTCCTGTTACTGTTGCATCTGTGTTGTCTGGTTTGGCCTCTTCGTTATGTCAGTGGGCATCTCAGGTTAGACTCGTCATTCTACTTTCCAGGAAGGAGTTTATCGCCACCATTAACATTTTTTCAACAATTGCAGGTTAAAAAGCATACATCTTACATGATGACTATCGAGATGTCATTTATTGGGAGTATGTGCTTGTTGGCAAGTACCTTTCAGTCACCAGACGGAGAAGCCCTGAGAATATATGGTTTTTTCCATGAATGGACTTTATGGACAGTGGTGAGCTCTTTGTTATTTTGTTATGCCTTGTTTCCTCTTGCTGTTAGGTCAATTTGAGCAAAACAAAATCAGTACAATGCATTACAAACCCATAAGATCATAATCATAATATATTCTAGTTGCATAAAATAAACCGGAATTGAGATGGCTAAGTAAAGTGCGACAAAACCTGACAGTACACCTGAACTAGTTCCTGCCTCCCTTTTTGATGAAGCCATGAAGTTATGTCCTCCCTTTTGGATTGTATTCTGACTTTGAACACTGTGCCAGTCATGTATTTTTTTTAAATAGTCCGTTATGGGATTGGCTAAGTATCAAAAACTTCATCTGCAATCTGTTTCCACTTTGCACCCAAAGGGATTTCAGTCTCTGCTACTGCCATTGTTTATGACGGTGGAAGAATATGGGTAACTACTTCAATAGAGATGGCCAGATGGCATGACATAGGGCGTTGAGTAGAAAATGTGTCAGGGAGCAAGGACATAATAGATTGTTAAACTACTACTAATATTGCTTGATTCCTAATTTATACATGCGGTGCCCCTTTTGTAGTCTTTAGAAATGGGCCATTGATTTGTGAGTCATATGGCCACCGCTTCCCTTTGTGATACTACAATCTTATGCTAATCATTTGAGGTAAAAGAGAAATCTTTGAACTGATTTAAAGAGCATCGCTAACATATCCAATACACACACTTTCATTTCAAATGATGATTTGGGCCATTCATGAGCAGGAAGGACCATTGACTTCCCTTTGTGGTACAATTTCATGCTATTTACTTGAGTTAACTGTATATAGGAACACTTGGAAAAATCTTCGCAATAATTTAAAAGTGCATCTGTAATATACCCAAATGTACATAGTTTCAATTCAAAAGATGATTTGTGGAAAGTATGAAAAATGCTGTACGTTATATGAATCTTTAAACCTCAATAGTAATCTTCACTCATTTCCTCAGATACCAGTGTTAATGAATGCTGTCGATGGGATTCTTGTTGGTCTTGTCACATCATATGCAGGAGGTATTAAAAAGGCAAGTGCTTGAAATACCACTAAATGGAATACACTTTCCTTTCATTTGGTCCGAAAAATTGAACTATCCTTTTTTTCTTTTCTTATCAGGGTTTTGTGATTGTCTCGGCTCTCCTCGTAACTGCATTACTCCAGTTTATATTTGATGGGAAGCCGCCATCACTGCATTGCCTGGTGGCACTGCCACTTGTTATGACAAGCATATTCATTTACCAGAAGTATCCGTACGTTGACAGTAAGAAGAAAGACAGATAAACATGCTCGTCAGAGAAAGGTTTTACTTAGCATCAACAACGTAATACTGACTAGTATTTTATCCGACGGAAGTTGAAGTTGGTACTGAGAAAATGGGGCCATATTTGACCTGGAAGAGTGTGTATTCATGGAGTAATGTATCAACCATCTGTCGATCCCCACTGTGAACTGAATTATTACTAGCTTCACTAAACATGTAGTCGATTCCAGTTAATTTCATGTTGGTTGTATTGTCTTCTACTCTTGAGCTATTGTTGTGTGGGTCAAGCCTTTCTGCGTAGTATTATATTTTGAGCTGTTGTGATTGTTTGAACTTTGATCATGAGGAGAGGAGGGAACATCATCTTCCATACTAATTGTAACAGAACACCCCAAATACTAACACGGGTTTCATGCCCACAATCCTTATTGTATTCTGGCAACGTAGGGTAATATTTCTCGTTTCAATTTAGCACCGTCTTATGATGGTTCCATCATCATCAGACCAGATGAGTTGCTTGTCATTTTCTTGCTAACGTTCTCACTATGCCAGAACACAGTGGCAGATGTGCCCAATATGCTCCTGGTCCCAGCTAATGATAGGATTGTGGGGCCCTGCTCTGTCCACTTGTGTTAATTTTGAATGGATCGCGTCCCCCCTGTCGCCAGTACTATTTTGTAGCAGCTCCCAGTTACACCACTACCCATTTTGATTGTAAGGCCATGAAGAAAGAAACGTATGGTCCTCTGATGTTCATCTATGCTGTCTCCGGTGAGGCTTGTGCAGTTTCGTTTTAACTTACTTTTGGCTTGTTCGTGTTTCAGATCGTTGTATCATTTTTGGCTTGTTCGTGTTTCAGATCATTGTATCATTCCTATCAGTATACACTTTGCCAAAGGTTTGTTTCCGAGTCAAGCTATGTGGTGACTTCTTGGTCGGCAAAGATGGCAAGAACCAAAGGTAATGTACCATTACAGACATAACCTTTATCTGATAAACGGTGCACATCCTTTTGACAACTAGCAATCTATACTATTACCACAGAAGTTTTACAATTCTAGTTTTACATAACTTATTGCACCCATGAATGAAGCTGCATCACTTGGTTCTTCCTGCATACCAAGGCTATAGGTGAACAGAAGGCAATATAATGTACATACGTCACTCTCCAACTCCCTACACAACTAAATTCGTTCATGCATCTGGGCAAAAGTTTTCCACTTGGCAGCCCGCTGTTGTTTCATCCAGCTTCAAAAAAACAAAATAAAATAAATGAGGCGTTAGTAAGCATGTACTAGAATGCTCTATTGATATAACGTACAAGTAAATCCTCAAAAAAAAAAGATATAACGTACAAGTACATAGGAGTACTTGAGAAGCAAATTCTAGTTGGGTTTACCATGCATCTGAGGTCACGATGACTGGGAGAGCTGATTCCAATTCATCAACCTATGTGACTGCTGCGGGTGCCTGTCCAAATAACTCCTACTGGAAATGTCAGTTTCATCCGCAGCGTAGGGATCTGAATGGCCTGACGCAGCCGGAGGCGACCAGACGGGTACTACCCCACCTTCTCTCCCAGTCCAGCTGCTTGATGCCTCTGAAGTGGATGGTGCTATGCCGCCCTGCACACGGTGACGGTGTAGGGTATACTGCTGCTGCTGCTGGACGCCGTTGTATCTGGCAGCAGTGTCGTCGCTGGCAACTTCATCCCTGACTTCCATCCGAGTCTGAGGCTGGAAATGCACCTGTGATGGCACCTCCGGCCTAGTCACTTCGCTTTCAAAAGCCGCAGAAAGTTCTGTTTCTGTTTCAGCTCTGAAAAAGGAAGAGGTGATGCTAGGCACCATCTGATCTGCTCGTCTCCGGCCAGCCATCGCTGGTGTATGGATAGTGGCACGGTCCACTTCCATATGCTGCAGCTCTTGGGGGAAGGCAATGGGTGGCTCGTCTGAGGAGTCTCCCAGGCCTTCCTCCATTCCATTCTCTATCTCAGCACGAGAGGCTGCCTCAAGCTCCCACATCTCTGACAGGGCGTCCTGCAATCTGGACTTGGCTTCATCTAGCTCAACAATGGGGAGAGGGTAATTGGAACCTAGCTCAATTCCTGCAGCCTGCAGCACAGACTCGGGTGCATCCCAGGGGTGGTGTATCCATTCCGTTGGTAGCCTCGCCAGCTCCGGCAGCCATCGCCGGACGTACTCCCCGCATGGGTCGAACTTGTAGCCTTCAAACTGAGAAATGCAATATATACAAAAAATCAAATCAATCGAGAGTGCTAGCTAGCTATTCTGATTATCTTCATACTGTATCATATAGTATGACCCGAAGATGATGTACCTGCGGGTTGTCAATGCGGTCGAGCTCACGGCCATCAGGCAGAGACCCGGAGATGTACTGCCAGCCCAACGCGTCGCTCTCAAGGTCGGCGTCCAGCAAGGTGTCCCAGAAGTACTTCATCCCCCAGCGCCATGGCAGCTGGAGAACCTTGACAAAGAAGCTTGAGACGACGACACGTATGCGGTCATGCAGCCAGCCGGTGGCCCAAAGCTCCCTCATGCCGGCGTCGACAAGAGGGTAGCCGGTCCTACCCTGCCTCCAGACCTTGAAGTAGACCTCATTGACCACCCAGGGGAAGAACCTGAGATGAGCCAAGAGGGGCTTCTCGTGGCTGCATGGGTGGTTGAAGGCGAGGTACCTGGAGTACTCTCGCAGGCCGATGGAGCGGAGGAAGAGGCTGCAGCCCTCCTCGCCGTCGCCGTTGCTCTCGTTGCTCCACGTTAGCTGCTTCATCCGTACCTGATGGAAGACCTTGCGGACGCTGAGCTCGCCAAAGTGCAGGTAGGGGGAGAGCAGTGAGGTGTTTGCACTGTCGGCCTTCTTGCGGTTCACGGAGTAGTCGATGAGCGGGCCGTTGATGAAGGCCGTGAAAGCCTTGTCGGCGTTCTGCCACCCCGGCGACCACGCGCGTGCGAGCAGCGCGTTGCTCCCCCTCTCCGACTCGTCTTCGAAGATGAGGTCGTCCGATGAGCAGCACCTCGACAATTCACCTGTCGTTATTGTTTTATATAGGTTAGTAGTGATTGTTCCTCTTCCTCGAAAAAAGGAAGAAGAAAAAAAAAAGCAGTGCAGAGACCTGAATTAATCCTCTTGGGTGGCAGCATGGGCGCGGGGGGGTCGACCATACAGAGGCACGTGTTCCAGAAGGGCGTGAACATGGTGAAGGGGCAGCCGTGGTCGTCGAGGACCTCCCATGGCTCGTAGAGCAGGTCGGAGTTGAAGGACTGCACGGTGATGCCCTCGGCCCCCAGCACTTGCTTCACCCGGTGGTCCCGGACCAGCGACAGCGGGTCTACACGGCGGGCAGCAGAGTAGCGCAGACAGCGATTGGTGAGCAACACATGGCCATTTGTTTGTGTCAGCTCACACGATAAGGTGCTTGTTATCAAAAAGGAAAAAAAGTTTGTTTCTTTTCTTAAAACAACTAGTACTAGTAGGAGTAGTAAGTTTTAACTAAACCGGACTAGTAGTAATAAATACTAGGTTGTGGGTACAAGAACTTTTGGGAATTAAAGACCGAGTGTTCAGGGAGTAGTGTTTGATGCTAAACTTGGAGTTGTTTGACGTGTGGAGTACAGGTTAAGCTAGTAGTATGAAATGAAATATCCACGAATATGATTGATTGGCACACACAGCACACAGGAGGGAGAGAGGGTACTGTTGATGCAAAGATTCCCCCCCTCCCCTCCCCTCCCCTCCATTTTCTATTGGATCGTGTTCGAGTGGATCTAGTTCCTTTCTCTTTTTTTTTCTTTTTTTAACAGAGAAGAGAAGAAATCTTAACAAAGTAGGAGTAGGAGTAACAGAGAGACCTAGAAAATAAATAAATAACCACAAGCAAGAGTGAGAGATGTAGGAGGAATCGAACCGTAGAGGTGGTTGAAGAAGAGATGGGTGGCGCCGGTGCTGCGGACGAGCTCCAGCAGCGCGGCGACGGTGTCGGTGGACCGTCGGGTGACCAGCCGGGTGGCGCCGAGCCGGCGCAGCGAGGCGTCCAGGTGCTTGAGGCTCTGGCTGAGCCACCACCGGGACACCCGCCCAGGGTAGTACGGCCCGTCCTCCTCCGGCGCCCACACGTACGCCGGCACCACCTCCCCGGCTGTTCGCGCCGCCGCCGCTAGGGCCGGGTTGTCCTCCACGCGCAGGTCCCGCCTGAACCACACCACCGTCCGCGTCCGCTCCCCGGCACCGCCGCTCATCGACGGCGACGCCGACATGACTAGGCACCAAGGCCTTTGTGCGACGACGAGCAGGTAGCTAATTACCAAAGGAAAAAGCTGGATAACGAGCAGCAGCTCAAGGAGCTGTCATGAAGCCAAGAGGCAACAACTTCTTGGCGCTCTGGTGAACAAGATTTGCTTGGATCGGCGAGGGTTTCCTGGAATCGTGGAAGAATGGAGAGTCGACTGGAACGCTTTCCTCAGGGCCGGTGCATGGGGAGTGATGTGGAGTAAATCTGACCGCCCCCTTTTTTCGTACAAAAAAGATTTTCTCGCTGGGAGGTGGGATGGTGGTGTTCTTGCAGTGCAGAGTTGCAGGGGTTTCTTAGTTTTGGTTGGGGAAGGAGAGCTGTGGTCCAATGGAGAGTCAGTGTGGTCTATGGATATTGGGATTGGTTGGTTGGCTTGGATTTGTTCTCAGCTTCTCCCTCTTGTCCGTTTATCCCCTCCGCTCTCTCCTCTCTCTATCTCACTCTCTGCTCCTCTTGGCCTTTCTCCTATCCCATAATATTCGCCTCCATTTTTTTCCGTCTCCGTGGAAAGGAGCTCGATTCTGCGTCTTTCTTGTTCATGCGGACGTGTGGGTGTGCTGGTACGTGTGTCTTGTTCATGTAAACTTGTGTGTGTTGTCACGTGTGTAGTTTATTACTGTTTACTACTGTACCCTCTCCGTTCATGTGTACAGTAGTTGTTACGATGCATGCATGTAACCAAACACCGACTGGAAATTGTTTTCTCAA